ACGAGCCGCCATCCACCCCAATCTAAACCTTCATACCCTTTTAAACCGGGGACAAGACAAAGTCGAGGTGACCGAGCAAGAATCAGGCCTAAGCCGCTTTCTCATGATGCAGCCAGAAACACCGCTTAACTTAATCTTTAGTCACAGTAGAATTTGCGTGGGTACTACTGCACTGTCTACCCTCACTCGCCTATAGTAGGTGTCTAGCCTGATTCTAAGAAGCCAGGGTTCGTACTGCTACTACCACTACTGCTATTTCTAATACTACTATTATGGTGTAACTGAGTGACATTTTTGCTGGTACTATTTCAGACTGTATTGTTAGTCAGAAGTGACACTGGTTAAAGTCAGCAACTTTTTCATTACTTTTCAGTTTACCATTGAATCTTTCTGGCAGATTTTTCTAAATTGACTAGCATTATCAATTCAGAATGCCTCTTCTATCACACTGAATCTTGCGCCGCAGGTAAGGTTTTCCTAACCTTTCGGAAGCGTAACGCCTTTCTATAAAACCCAGTCTTGTCTGGGCCTAAATGTTTCTTAGATGACCTTCAACTTACTGTTCAATGTATAAGCAAATGTGTAAGCAAACTTTTAAATATTATTCAACGGAAACTGCAGGATTTTTAAAAATGAATGTTGTCTGCTTGAATTTAGTCTCTTTATGTCGCGGACACCGTTAGTCCAGCTACTATATTCCTAGCCTCTCTTTCCCTTCTGTCCGAATTTCCCTGAAAAAACTGGCCTATCTTTCCAAAAAGTGCTCTAAGCTTCCGCCCAGCTGATAAATGATTTGTTATCTGTGACTACCTGTGCTTGCAGTAGGATAGTGAGCGTGGGTGCAAAAGTATCTCCCGCTATTTTTTTCTGCAATTGATTGAAACCTTGGCCTTTGACTGCACTGCTTTGACTTGGAATCTAAAACGTCTATTATCTCAAAATCTTCTAATACAAAAGCACACGTGTGACAGGCTAGCTAAAGCTCGTTGTTTAAGTGAGGATATCTTATAGTTCTGTGTGCGATTTCAAAAGATGTACCTATTTGTGACTTAACTCACCAATGACCGTAACTTCAACCTTGAGCGTTAGCCTAATTTTAACTATCCCTTTATCCTAAACCACAACGGTAAAGGGGAACTCAAACAACAACCTTAATCCGAACAATAATTTCGGTGGAATTGAGCACAAATCTTCAAATTATTATGGGGCGTTCCCAATCCCATGTCCAAGCGGAAACGACCAAGGACCAACTAAGCAGTCATTGCCATTCTTGTTCACTGATAAGTAGTTAGAAAAATCTTGGCTATTTATTTACTACCGATGAAGAAATCCCGACTTCATCCATGCCAACAATTTTAACCCCAAACCTCTGCCATTAAAACCTGCCGTTTAGATGCCCTTATATTGCGTTGAATTGCGCTTTGCATTGCACTTAACATTCCAGGTCTTCCTTTAGGTCTCTATATAACTTAAAGTTGGAAAATGAATGCTATTTGTTTTGGTACATATCTGAAGAGTTCACTTACATGGCCTCTGAGTACATCACATCGTTTCGAATAAGAATATGCTTTTACAGTCATATCTTATAAATTGAAAAATGGGTTCGCACAGAAAAAGCGAACATGTTTCCGATAGAACGTCCAATTAACATGATTTTCTCTATCTCCTGTGTATGTTCAAGGAAATAGTCTGGAAAGAATATAATCGATTGGAAACTGACTATATTTTATTTCGTATCTATCCACCAGCAACCGTTTTCGAGTTTTTCTTAAAATGTCGAGGCATATTCACTTTTTCTTCCCTAAGTATCCTTAAAGAGAGGGGCAACGAAAGCCTTTGTTGGTAGTAACTATTGTCACTTGGATGTGTGATTGTTTTTATGTCAGCTTTGTAGGTAAAAGTTAGACATCCAAATTAAAATGTTGGAAAATGCGTGTCTACTGGCCGGGTCCTTATTTATTTTATAGTTTTTAGACCTTATCGTTTGTTTTGCAATTTTTATATTGAAATTTTTGTTAACCAACTATTCAAGATAAATTAATGGTTGCAGTCTTCCTGACAGGTCTCGTCTACGTGAGTGCAGCATCTCAATTTAACAAAGCACATAATGAAAGCTTTTCTTCCGTGATATGCGTTTCTTACCCACTAACCACTAAAATGTTCTTCAGAACGCGACACTACTGGGTTTGGTTTGCCTCTAAGTGTGTTTTGATTTCACTGGTTTAATTTAACAAAAACTGATTCGCATCTTCCATTTACTAGTGGAAGAAACTCGATTAATTATAGTTTCCTAAATGTTTATTTATTCAACTTTTACATGAAAGTCTTATAGTCAAACTACAACTTATAGCATAAGAATTTCTTTAGTTAAACAACGTCTCACGAATTGAGGCAAAGGTTCGCATCCCTGGTACGTGTATGGATTGAGAAGAAGAAACTGCCTCGGTCATCGGAATCATAGTTTTATTAGTCTGAACTTTCGAACTCGTTGTTTAAGTGAGGATATCTTATAGCCCTGAGCACATTATCAGAAGATGTACTTATTTGTGACTTAACTCACCATTGACCGTAACTTCAACCTTAAGCGTACGCCTAATTTTAACCCTCCCTTTATCCTTAACCACAACGGTAAACGGGAACTCAAACAACCAGCTTAATTCGAACAATAATTTTAGTGCAATTAAGCTTAAATCCTCACATTATTACGGGGATTTTCTACACGTTCAAACTTTTGTTTTGTACACACGCCATAGCTAGTCCCCATTCCCATTTGTTGCTGTTTCCTATCTCTGACGATGGATTACTGTAGGATTTCGAAAGCTAAGACTAATAAAACCATGATTCCGGTGATCGACACAGCTTCTTCTTCTCAATCTAAACAACCTCTTTCATATCCCGACAGCACATAATTATATACATACTTAAGAATTAACGGGAGGGTATATGCTTTCTGTAAACAAGACTATCATTTAAACGTAAGCTATTCAATGCTGGGAGGGCGTTCACCGATTGGTTGTGGGGTTCATTCGTCCGGTGGTGCCTTCACGCTCACCTTTGGGCTCCACCAGCAGCCCCTGGCTTGTTGGCTGATGACAGCTAATAAGCGAGCATTAGATATTCCACTCTCCGTTACCTTTGTCGGGCAAAAGTAGCTTAGGTAGCCCACTCATACACCCCTAGTCCCAGCGTTTTGTCCTGCAAACACGGTGTTTATAGAGTTTTGTAAAGG